TAAATTTTTATTTTGCACATTTCAATATCATTTAATGCACATTTCAGTTTCACCAAATGCACAATTTGGTTCAACATAATACCATCCAACGGTCCAGATTCGTTCTCATTTTTCTCCTAAGATCTGTTCTTACCGGAACCGCTCCCTATACACACACACACACACACACACACACACACACACACACACACATATATATATATATATCTTCTGTTGTTGTTGATAATGCATCAGCCAATGATTCAATGATTAAGTTTTTAAAATCATGGCTTCTGGACAAATCTTCGGTGTTGTTAGGAGGTGATCTTTTTCATGTTCGATGTAGTGCACATCTTGTGGGTGGTTTGCTTCAAAACATTCGAGATACTATAAAGTACTTGAAAAGATCAACTTCAGCGAACCAGAAGTTTTAGAGCGCTATTAACCACTGTAAGTTGAAAAATAAAAAACGGGTGGGTTTAGATGTAGCTAACATACAGAACTCGACATTCTTGTTGCTTGAGAGTGCCCTTCCTTTAAAAGAAGCTTTCTGTCGCTTAGAACAACTTGATAGAACTTACAAGCTTAATCCTTCAGAAAGTGATTGGAAAGTTGCAGGTGTTGTTCACGGGTGCTTGACAAAATTTTATGATGCCACGTGTCATTTTAGTGGTTCTAACTTTCCCATAGCAAATGTGTTTTTCCCCGATATATGCAATCTTAGTATTAAGTTGAGGCAGTGGGAACATAGTGAGCATGATCGTGATTACATTAAGAACATGGCAGTTCCTATGCGGGCTAAATATGAAAAATATTGGGATGAATGTTGCCTAGTTTTAGCTATTGCGATAGTGCTTGATCGATCCGCGGTATAAGTTGGCTTTTGTGGAGTATTAAAATAATTCTATTCATAGAGAAAAGGGATCAAGATACTTGGATAAATTTTGCAATGCCTTGACCGATCTGTTTGTTGAATATGGGGGTGAACGTTTTCACTATACTACTTCATTATGATATTGGTGAGGGAGCCTCGGATGCATGTATGGAAGATGGAGATGATATGTCAGCATTTGATAAATGGTACCAGGAATCTTCTTCATTTGGATTTGTTCAACAGAAGTCTGAATTGCAGTCATATTTAGATGAGTCGGTATTTCCAAGAAAGGAAAAGTGTGACATACTAGCTTGGTGGAAGGCAAATAGTCCAAAGTTTCCTGTCCTTAGCAAAATTGCTCGTGATATTCTCGCAATTCCAGCAACTACAGTGGCATCGGAATCTGCGTTCAACGTTGGGGGAAGGGTTCTTGATGAGAGTCGATCTTCTTTGCTTCCAGATGTAATGGAAGCTTTGATAACAACAGGTGATTGGCTGCCATCATTGAATAAAAAAAGTAAGATCATACTTATTTTAATAATTCTTTCTCTTATAATCCTTAATTTTGGTGACTAATTTAATTTATATGATATTCTTGAGTACGAGGATGAACAATAACAATTCGAAAAGTCATCCAAATCTGCCAGATTATCATAATTAGATGTGTAAGATCATTCTCAGTTCTTTTACAAAATGAATATCATAAAACAGGGTTTGACTTAATGATAGATTACACTTATTGTTAATAATTATTCTATCTTTTTTCAATATCAGTTTTGTTTTTGCAAGGAGATTTTGCAGAGACATGGAGTTGTAGTAGAGCACCAGAAGAGTCATAATTTAGTGCTAGAATGTTTTTGCAGAATGCAAAGCATAGAATGATTGCTCTTTTTAAAGTGAAATCAACTTACTGGAGTTATGCTTTTGGAATTATGTTTTTGTAAAAGTCAGATGGAGTTATTTTGGTTTTTGTTGTTTTTATTATCACAGATTCAAAGAGGCTTTTGGATAAAACTCATGTTTTTGCAGTTGCCCAGTGCACCTTATTTGTTACATTAAACTTATGTTTTTGAAGAACTTACATTTATTCCCCCGTGGCAAAATCAGTGCACCATATGTGTTACATTTTGAATGTGTAGATCTGGAACTTTCATGTTTAAAGTGTTGCTGTTGGTTGAGTAATTACAGACAAGTAATTGCACTTCATGTACCATATTGTTGCCAGAAAAGTACTCGATAGTAAGAGGTCCCCTTTTTTATTTAAAAAATTAGAATTAGATTTTCGTGAGACGGGTCGGGTCTACCCGACCCGGTTCCGAGATCCAATGGGTATGGGTCCGGAACATTAGTCTTCACCTTCTAGCTTTTACCTCACGACATTAGTCTTTACCTTCTACCAAACATAAAGATAAAACGTTATTTTTAGAAAATAGATTTTCGGACGGCATTCGTGTGTGCAGGTTGCCCGCGCACGCAAGTCGCGCTTTTTGTTCTTCGGTTTCGGGATTTGATTCGCACCCCCTTGCGCGAGTGAAAGAGCCGTTCCCTTTAGGAAGCTTAACTCCTTGGGGGGGGAGTTCCCTTTATAAAGGGCTCAAACTCCCTTGTGATTTTCGGTGTGGGAAAAAACCACACTAGAAACCCACGTTTTCCTAGTTTTCTCCATTTCAACGAGTGAACTTCGAGAATCAATTTCTCATTCACCCGTTATCCGTTTTGATCGTATTATATATCAAATTGTAGCCCTAAGCAAGGACAATCCGAAACCACTTTGGCCCGATCCAAATCGGAAGTGGACCCCACTCAAAAAATTGCCCCAAAATGACCATTTAATGCAATTTCAACTCATTTTTCCAACAAGAGCTTTGTTATACGTAGTACTAGATTTAAATAAAATATGTTGGTTTTTTTTACAACTACCACCTTTTTATTTTAAGATCTTTTTCGAATAACTAAAAATTACTTGTAGTATTTACTAAAAAGCTTAGAAAAGTATATTTCCAGCTGGTTATCCCAAACATACACCTAGAACATGTTTGGTAGACATAAGTCTTTACCTTCTAGCTTTTCTAGTATTTTAAAGTCCTTAAAAGCTTCTAACCGAAAGTTTGACATGATAATTTTTAAGAGTTTTTTGAAAAGTAAAAAATCTTTTTTGAGATGTTACAGTGAGAAGCATCTGCGAAAAGATTGTGGCTTTTATTATCAATTAGTCCTAACTGCTTGTCTGCCAAACCAAACTAAATCAAACAGTCGGTTTTTTATAACAACTATCACCTTTTTATTTTAAGATCTTTTCAGTCAGTAAAAGCTAACATTTACTAAAAAGCTCATACTCTAGGCGTAATAGATAATTGTCATCTAGGCGCCCGAATGCTTAAAGATGTAATATTCTGTTAAAATGTTGAAAATGGAAAATTTATTCTCAAGTAACCAAATTCACATCATCATAATTTTGATGTACACCTATTTTTACTACAAAAATAATGGAATTGGCACGGATCTTTGGTACAAATTCGTCAAATTCATAAGGTATTTGGCACAGATTTGGCACACATACGTCAAATTCGTGTCAATGCCATTTTGTTATCATCTATTTGACATGGCGTCGCACAAAAAATATGTTATGATCCGTGTCTGCTATGTCGATATGATCGATCTGTGCTAAGTTCGTGCCACTATCGTGTTTTTTTGTGTGTGTTTAATTTCAACTGTTTTACAGCATATATCAAACACCTACCGTTAAATCATAAAACAAGAAACTAAAATTAGCAATAATAATATGCCCTTATTATTTGAATAATAATAAGGGCATATTAATGACATCTCGATTAATTTGTGATTAATCTGCGACAAGCCCTTACAATCTGTGCCTATCTCGATTAATCTGAGATAAGCTCTTATTTATCTTATTCATTAGACTTAAAAATGACATTCCATTTTTAACCTATAGCTCCTGTAGTTCTGTCTATTTTTAATCTTCAATTTCTCTTTTCCAATCATCCTTAAATTATCTTATGTTTCATATTAAGAAAATCAAAATGTTGATAATCTCTTTTTTCTACAGTAAACAAATTTTTATAAAACTTTATACTTTATTAAAACCCAACAATTTCTTTTAGTATGATGATTCTAAATAGAGAACTTGCATTTTAAATCAGGAATTGATAAAATCAGGTTCTTTTAACTATGACTAAGAGTATTTGATTGACTTCGGAGGTTATATAGAAAGTGATTAATTAATAATGAAAATTGATAGTGTTGGGAAAGAATAAAGTGAATATAAAAATTAAAATTGGTAATAAGATAACAAAAGAATTTTATCATTTTAGTACCTGAAAGACAGATGAATTATTAGTTTTAATGTTTATGTGTAATAGACAAATTGAAAAGCAATCAAAAGTGTTCTTCAACCTCTTTGAGTTTTTATTTTAAAGTGCTTAACTTAAGCAAAATTACTTGTTTAAAAACACTATTGTTTACTTTTTAAAACTCAAAAGCCAAAAATTAAGGAGTATTTTTTATCCATGCAAAACACTTCTATGGTCTCACCAATATAATGCATATTAATTAAAGCATGCAATATAATTTGATATAAGTAAGGATGTTTTCATTTGATTTTTTTATATATTTACTCTAAAGTGATCTAATATAAGTATGTCTATTATACTCCCTCCGTCCCAAAAACAACTTCCCACTTTCCTTAAATGGATGTCTAAAAATTAACTTCTCACTTCAATACTTTCCTTATTTGGCAAATTATCTACATAAAAAAAGTGATAAACAGTGTCAAACAGTGTTTAAACAGTGTCAAACAGTGTTTAAACAGTGCCAAACAGTGCATTCTACAGTAAAGTCAAATTTATTTCCTAAATATGTGTAGGTCAAACCGGGAGGTTGTTTTCGGGACGGAGGGAGTATTATTGATAAAATTCGTTCTAATATGACCTAATTATTAGTCTAGTCTAAATTGGTAGGGTATCAATTAAGATCAACCTAAATGAGATGAGAACATCTAAAATGAAATGTGATTCCGAGAAGAAACTTTGGTCTAATTAAACTGAGACCAAAGTCAATCCAAATTGAAAACATGCCAAATGAAATGTGATTCAACCAGTTGACCAAATTAGAGAAGAAAAGGGTAGGCCGGACCAAAATTCTAAATTAATAATGATAAAGCAAAACGATTAAAGAAAAAAAAAACGTCCACTCACTTGCCTACAGTCATTGCAAATAGGCAAGCCCTTAAACATCATTAAATATAAAAATAAGGTTGTCCATAATAATAACAATAATAATAATAATAAACCTAAAATAGACTCGGCCATTCCTCCTAGCTTCAATCTTGATTGCTCCTTACAAATTAAGTTGATGGAGCATCCGGGAATGGCATTGTCGGGTTCCCGCCAAGCCTCCGCCTATTCATGAGCTCACGCGCCACTGCCTGAAGGTCACCTCCGCCGGCTGAAGACGACGGCATGTCCACCGCCGCCGTCCTGGGCACTGAGTGGCCGAACACGTGGCGGGGGTCCAGCTGCCGCTGCTGAGTGGGCCATGCCTGCTGCGCCATGGGGTCAAAGAGGGGCGAGAGGTCGTAGGTTGACGGCAGCACCGTCGCGGCAGTGGGGAGGTCAGCCGGGTTTAGGGCAGCCGACGGCATCAGCACCGAGTGTTGGGGATGCGGTGGATGCATCGGCACAGGCGGCGGAGCTGGCACCGCCTCCAGCGCCGCTAGCTGGCCGTGTATGTAGGCTAGCTCCGCCTGCAGATTCACTACCTGCACATTATACATTATTCAGGATAGAGCATTCGATGGAAGCTAATTATACTAGATTTAAATAATAGCTAGGGAATAATACTGTAAAATGTATGCAAAAAGTTGCATTAAAATACTTGTATTAAACTTCAACCTACTTTAGCTCTGATGTAGATTTGCTCTTGATATAGAAAAAAAGTTAACATATTGATATGTTATTTAACAACATTATGCTAGAGAGAGGTGTACATTATAGTTATAGTAATCGAATCTTGAAGTAAGTGTGTTTGTAATAAGTTTAAGGTGATCAAATAATTAGTTTTAGGTTTATGACGTTTAATATACGAAGTGTATGGGATTGACATGCATTTTTTACAACGATTTCTCAAAATTGGCAGTGATATGATAAATCTGTGCCAAAAATAGTTTGACACGAGATATTTGACACGAAATCATCGGTAAATCCGTGCCAAATCCGTGCCAATCTCGTGATTGTTTTGTAATGATATACTCCGTACTACGTATGTCGTATATCCAATATTAATTATTTACACAGACCTCACCTATCAAATATGAACTAATTTAATTTAAATTGAAATTTTATTATCTGATTAATTAAGTTTACAGGTTAGGCTTATATTCCATTTTATATGTTGTTGAACTTATTCAAATTTAAGTTTTAAACGATCCGGAGTATTCAATAAGACTTGCTAAATTATGGGAATTGATGAGCTCAATGGGAATTGTGAAGAGACAATGAGTGTAGAGTTTTTCACGGGAAATTAAGATTTGAAAATATTAGGGTACAATACTTTGGTCAATAGTTAAACTTTTTAATAAAAAAGACATCATAAGGCACAAAAGCATTTATTTAAGTGCTTTTGTGAAATGGAGAAGTACTTCAGCGTGCTCCAAATTGCTTTAAAAAACAATTTTTTAGAAGTTGGAAAAGACCAACTTCTAAAATCGATTATGATTCCGCTTTTGCAATTAAAAAAGAAGCAGAAGCAAAGTAAATTCCAAACACTCCATCGAGTCTTTTGTTGAGTAGTACATAGTAGTTACTGATAAACCACCGTTTAGCTTTGTTAAAAATAGAGGTTTACGAGATGTATGTTGTACTAAATTAAAGGGATGCCCTTGTTTTAGCTTTGAAGTGCCATAGAGAATGACTCCTATAAGGACATTTCTAGATAGTAGAATCTGTGTAAATATAGATTGATTAGATTCTTAAACAAGTGTTAAGAGAGTTTTAATAATTTGGTCTTATATAACTGCCCACGTATTGATATTGTCTCATAAATTAAATGAACAAAAGTGTTAAACTGTGTGTGTAGCATGATCAACTTCAAGATATAATATATAACTGTAGCAGATCTTATATATTGATCTTATAAGTCATTACATGATCAATTAAGGAAATGTTCAAATGATTGTGATAATCCACAATTAGTGTTCCAAGGAAAAACTTGCTTGCGAGATGTGTAGCATGATAAGGTGTTTTCATAAATAAATATAAATGAATTGACGCCCATTTTATAAAAAGTGATCACTCCTTTTACATATGAATAAAATTGTGACTAACAAGGTAATATCACTCTTGTCATAAAACATACTAAGTATCACTGCAATTATCATAAAATTTTCCGGCGAACTTTAAAAAAATGAAAAAGAAAAAAATCATCAAAATTTTCTTACGGCCATTGATATAAATTACAATGAGAAAAAATTGATTAATTAAACAAAAGGTTAGTCATATTTTAAAAAAAAATTATTCACTTTTTTGTACGTAGTATTTAACAAAGTTCTAGGTAATGCTTTGTGTCTTTTTCTGGATAGTATTATGAATCTAAGGAAAATGATTTGTACAGATTTGGCTTTATACTATTCTTACACATTGGGTTGAACTGGATAACGGAAAACATTTTCAGTCAAATTAGGTTATAGAATAATCGTGTATGTGCGATATGATGGTGTTTATCTGAAAGCTTATAACTAATACTTGTGCAAAAACATTAGTTTGATCGGCCATCTATGTAATTTGAAGGACTTCTATGTTTGGATGCACGTAAACTCATTAATAAGGCTTACAACAATCAATAAGATCTAGCCTAGCTTCATTTATCTAGATCTCCTTCGTTAATGCATGCCTATAAGTTCTTCTAAAGGAACCAATAAGAAAGCAAATATAAGTTGACATTTTGGAATGAAACACCATTTAGTGTTAGAAGTGAAAGATGTTATACAAAAAATGGGATTTTGGCGAATGCTGTAGAAAATATTTGTATGCGGTGAGATTCGAGTTCGGACTTTGGGGAATCATTATTTCACTAGGAATAATTCAATCTTCTCAAATTAATCTTAGGCTTCAACGGGTGGAGTATGACTGTATGGTCTTCAAGGTTTGAGCAATGGACTAGTAGACTGATTGGGTATGGTAGAGTTTATGGGGATAAGGTGGAGTAGTCATACTACCTTCGCCTTCGTCTCGAAAAGGTTTGCTCTATTGACTTTTCTTGATCAATGATGAAAAACTTAGGACAATTGTTTTAATTGTTATATTTGTATATGATTTATAAATTTTATACTTTATGAAAACAATATGTATAAGAAATTGGTGTGGACACCCGCATACTTCTGCCTAGGGTTTATTGGCGGTGATTCGTCCATAGATTTTGGTACGATGGTTTCTTCGAGTAACGCAACAACGTCGTACAGCTCTAGTCGGAGGGATCTTCATGTGACAACAACAACACGCAAGAGGGCAGCGATGGAAGGCAAGAGGCGGGAGGAGATAGAGATTGCGACCCAAGTTTATGGAAGGATGAAAATGGAGGAAGAAGATGAAGCCACGGACAACAGTGGGTCTATGGTCCGTGAAGGAAGAGGGTGGAGTGTTATTGGTTCGTCCCCCTCCTAAACCGCCGCCAGAGAAGAAATGAGTGGCTAGGGTTTGGATGCTTCTTTTAGTTATTTTTGCTTGTTTCGTTTGCTGTTTTTTCGTTCAGCATTTCCAGTTTAATTTTTACTTTGTGATTTTAGTTATTAGATTGGGAGTAAACAATCTGACTATTTTGGACGATAGTAGCTTTGAATCTCTCGCATGTTCAGCGAATTGTCTTGCTCATTATTGGGCAATCTATTCTATATAAGATCAGATAGTGAAGGGGCCTATTGACTATAAGGAGTCTAGAGGGAGAATCTGGGTAGTTGGAAGGCTAAATGTTTGGATATTTGTTTCAATGAGTTTAATATAATCCTTTTTTTCAAGCAAAAAAACATTTTGATATAATTTTTATACTTAAAAATAATTTCGTATTAAAAAATATCATTGATGAAAGTTGATTAACATGATTAAAAAAGTTAATTTGACAAACTTTTTCAAAGACGGGGGAGCATTAAGTTTGTTGAAGGAAGTTTAGCATTGATTAAGAGGAAGGAGAACGAAATGATAAATGCGAATTTTAACTTGGTCAACGATTCAAAAAAATGCATTAAGTTTTTTGGTCAACGATTCAAATTAATTCTCAGGGTGGTCGTACGGGTCCGTGCGTCTGATTTAAGGCTTGCGACGTGCTTGGATTTGGAAGTACGTTTGACAATAATAGATACTAGTACATTGACATTTTAGTATATGTTTTTTTTCATTAAAAAACAGTTAAATAAATGTTTTTTTATACAGTTAAATAAATGTTGTTTAACCCAATTAAATAGAATGACTACCAAAAATACACATATTTAATTTAAGCCCAACTTTTGTGTGTGTTAGAATTTAAATTACAGTGGACCAAGAAAATCACCAAATCACATCTATAAACTAGAAAAGGATCTAACGGGTTCGATCAAGTAGTATGTCTTTAATGTTCTAGATTGAGTTGAATGAGATGCATTAATTCAATTGCATTTAGGAAAATTTTACAAGTCAATGATCTTTAATTGTTTATAGAAGTTAATTAGATTTTGTTTAACCCAACTAAATAGAATGGCTACTAAATCACAAGCAAATACACAATATGTTTAAGCAAAACTTTTTGTACATTGTAAGAACTCATTTTAAAATTTAAATTGAACCAATAAAAATCACCAAATCGCGTTGGGTCTGTAAACTAGAAACTGATCTAATTAATCTAATAGGCCCAAACCAATAGTAACTGATTGAAACTGATCTCATCATATATTACATGCGATTGTTTCTAATATAATCTTTGAACGTCAATTAAAGTCTCTAAAATTAACAAGAGCAAAAAAAACATTGAAACTCAATAAAAATAAAAATAAAAATAAAAACAAATTAACTGACTCAAGTAAATTTCATCACCCATTTTATGGCAATACAAATAATTTAAGTTCAATTCGGGTCTCACCGCCTCATCACATGTATCAAACTTATAAGTTTCGCAACGTTAAGAATATAAATTTTGATTTTATATATGAGGACGTCGTAATATTATTTGAAAGTCGAACTCTACTTTGAAAGAATTGGGGGAAAAATGAAAGGATGACAAAAGATTTCCATAAAATCCGCTACTAGTTATATTTTTTTGAGACGATGACACGATAAATAAATAGAGAAATTATAATTTACACGAAGCTTAAAATTACGGTGATACGGAGTATATTTTTATTTATATACTTATACTCTGTATATAATTTTAGGATAAACTAGTAATTTCACATATCGATCGTGCACATTTTGTGCTGAATCATCACCATTACTGAAATAATCTTGATGCTGACTCAGCGTGGCGCAGATTATAAACCATTAATTGTTTGCAGATTCAATTTTTAAACACAATAAATAATACATAATCATATAATTTTTTGCACATTTCTTAACAAAAAGATGAGTTATTTCATATTTTCATGATTTCACCATGCATAGGTTTCAACGGTTTCCTAAATGATTATGTTTCAGCCTCCTAACCTCTTTTAATTAATGCTTCTAATACGTAATATACCTTTGAATTGAACTTTGAATTGATGTTACATAATTTACTTTTTTGAAAACATATTGGATTTTGATTCTTAAGATCAGATAGGTAAAATCAGGATAGAATAAAGGTTAATTGTTCTCTTGAAACAAAGTGAAAAGTAATTAACTGAAGAAGAAAGATCACTGGCCAACTCAATAATAAATAAATCTTAAAATGTACTCAAATCCCGACCTTAATTAATTAAGAGATTAATGTAATCTTGACAACAACAAGTACCAGATCTGACTAACCACACATATATACAGCACTACAACATATATAAATTCGGTATAATTATACATACCACCACATTTTAAGAAAAGTCTTTTGCAACTATAATAAACCACTAGCTTAGTATAACTCTAAAATTTTAGTAAAATTTGCATAATTTTAATAAGCTATCAATTATAAACACTTCCAATATACTTTTATAATTCAATCGAATATATCATGTTAATTAACTTGTTATGATATGGTTAAAATTTGAGAAATCTTCTTAGGTAACCTTTACTATTTAGTTGTATGTTCTCAAAATGACTAAAGGGCTACCTTAGAAAACTTCATTTTAACATACTTCATCCGTCCTAATATGTGTGAAATTTTTTCTATTTTTATATTAAAAACTTTTCTTCATAAAAGTTTCAGTATATTGAAACTCAAAATCTATATTCCAATATGCTAAAAAAACAATTTTCATAATCAGAGTGCAAAAAGAACATACTTCGTATATGCTTTAACCACGAATTGAAAACTAAAATTTCAAATTAATTTAGGTCAGATGGGTTACTTTATTACTGTTATTTTTTTAAAAAAAAGGCTTGATAATTCTTTTAAGAAATACAAAAACAATACAAAAAAGAAAAAAAAAGTTATTTTCCTGATGGATGGAGTATATGGGTCATGAGATTTATTTTGGATCTCGTTTCGATCTTTTAATCGTAAAAGACATATATGAATGAGATTTTCCATTTCTTATACACCGATTCATTTAATTTCTACAAAAAGGTATGTTTAGAAATGAAATTGTATTTCCAAGTCTCGTAGTATGAAATCTCCTCTTCAACCTTTTTTACTAAGAAGAAGAAACACTTCAATGCATCGGTAAAATGGAGAAATGAGATGGAAAGGGCCTAAAAGAGGAAGAAAGCAAAGTTTGCAACGGAAGATGAGGTTTTAATCAATTTACCAACTATGATGAAAAGGCACTGTTTGGGTCATGTGTTTGGATTCCAATTCATTACCTATTCTTAGAATCCAATAGTAGTGAAACAAAATTAAGTGTTATAACACCAAACTTTTGAGAAAGAGAGGTGATATATAGAATGAGTACACCAAACCATTTAATTTATAAGTTGATCTATATTTAGATACTTGACCGGTGTGAGATAACTTAATACTTCTGGTATATAAGAATGTACCTGTTGTTGCATGTTAAAGATTTGCGCAACACAACCGTAGATGGGGTCGCGAAGGCGGGCTTGAGCCTCGTAGCATATGGTGATGACAGCCTCGGGGCGCTTGTGCACCGGAATGTGGAGGAGGAGCTTGGAGACATTGCTGGCGCCAAAAATCTTATGCACCGCCGCGAAATGAGCGGCGCCCTGCTCCGAATCGAAGTGCGGGGCGAAGATGCACCCAGGCACGCACTTCCTCCTCAAGAACTTGCACGCCCCACACGGTCCACCACCGCTTCCGCCACTGGCCGCCACCGTGCTTGAAGTAGGACTAGTCGAGCTCATGGTGTTGAGGATCAGCTAGCTTTTTGAATTGTACGTTACGTTTTATTCTTAGGAAATTATTTAACTAATAAGGGAAGGGTGTCTGTTTATATATATAGATGGCCAGATAGGATCAATACATATCATCTGGCATGATTACTTTATAAATTAGGGTTTCTGATCATGATGAGAAATGAAAGAAACGAGGGGAGTGAGAATTTAAGGCTGGATGGAACATGAGTTTCTTGCCAGACAGGGTTTGTTTGTTTGTGTGTTTGAAGATTTTGGATTTGTGGGCTGTTTTTTTAACTTTTGAAAATGTTTTTAATTTTTTTTGTATTTTCAAAAAAACTGTTTTTTTTTTGTGAAAATTTGGAGTGAAGTGTGAATGCGTTTTAAATTAAATTAAACACCGGGGATGATCTTGAAACCTTTAAAATCACGCGAAGAAGCAATTAACCCCCACCCCCACCCCAAGTAGCAGCTTGCGTGAAGCAAGCATGACATAAACAAATAAACTGCCATTTTTTCAATAAAAAACAATTTAAATTTCAAAAAAGAGAACTATTACATATTTAACTTTTTCTAAAAAATTATCTGGCTTGGTTGATCTCGTGAGTTTGGTCCTTTCGGCTGAAGTGTATGTCATGCTTTTCATTTCCTTCTTTCTTTTGGTATGTAGAATTTGTGATGCTAACTACAAAGCTGCATACTTCCAAGCCAGACCGAATTAATTTTATTACTAATTACTTATTTTATTTTTGAAAACACAATTATTTTATTTTTGTGTTTAGAGATAGAGAGAGATGGGATTTTGAATTGTGATATTATATGAAATCCAAACTTGCTTTAACGTCTCAATAATAATTCTAAGCTCACGAGTATTGTTCAATGGTGACATATGCATGTCTACCAAAGTAATCATTCTAGACTTTTTTGTCATACATAATCATCTGTTTCATGTTGGACCCTTGGATCTACTATTGATTTTCCCTTCTACCATTTTATGAAGAGTGATAAAATTCAATCACTTTTAACTTAATTCCTTACCAACTGTCTCTCGATCATATTGCATTTAATTTTGAGGATCAACAACACTAATTCATTTTAGAGTCTGGTAACACTGAAATGCTTGAATTGGCTGAAATTTATGAAGTCTTGGATGAATTGACTGTATTGGTTGATTCTAATGAATTATGAAAAATTATTTTTAAAATATACTTTGTTTATGAAATATAGAAAGAATTAACTTCAAAGCTAAAAAGGTAATCTACATTAACTTCAATCAATACAGTCAGAAAAGTAACTTCAACCTTATTTTTTCTTATTATTACACAACATTTCAATCCGTGAAATCAAAAGTTATGTATTTGGTTAAAAAGTTGGTCGATAAGACTAATAAGCCGAAAAACAGAGTCACCAAACGGGCTCTTATTAGTATGTAAACTACGGAGTACTAGTGATTTGTGTTTAGATATTATTAGTTTAATACTAGCTACTTATAAGTTATATCCCTAACTATCATCATACTCATAAATTTTTCATATTCTTTATCTTTTATAAAAAAAGATTGAAGTTTCAACTTTTTATACAATTCTACTTTCATTAGTACTACTAGTTTGGAAAAATCATATTTCTGTTTCGTATTTTCCCATTTCTTTCTAGTTTGAATTTGAGAAACTAGTACTAATTATACTTGTAATATAATGCAAAATTTCATTTATACAAAAAAACTTTTGACTTTTCCTGTGGAAAATTAAAACTAGTATTATTGTTTATAACTAATCAAGTTATAGTGTAAAACATATGAAATATAACTAGAAAAATGAAAGCACCGCAAAAAACTACGTAGAAAAGAGGTCAATGCATGTTTTCTTGGTAACAAATACAAGGAAGTAATATATTAAGCAAAACATATTAGTGCTTAAATTACTGCATAGTATTACTTTAGCAGCTTCTTACAAAAATAATGTATCAGCTGGTTAATTCATCGATTAGTGAGAGTATCATTTTATATTAATTTTTCAGATTGGTTAGAACAATTTCAGTTATACGTAGTAGTTTGTATGTACAGTAATATTTTTGTGATTTGATTTGTGTTCATCTTAAAATCATGAAGAATAATAAATTTAAATAATTAAAAATATATTTACATAACTTAATACAAGTATATATAACGTATTGATATGAATTTTTTAATTTTGAAAAAACAAAAAGGAAAAGTATAAAAGTCAAGTTATTCTTTTTTTAATATACTCAGTTAGTTAAAAATCATACAGTTCTAGTAAAAGAATTTAAAAGCACACAAATTCACAAAATTAGAATTCAGTAATCACATTGTACTACTATACATATATAGCCCGCAGTGACAACTTTAATACCAAATAAATTATTGTCGTAGTCTGTGAATTTGAAATATCTTTTTCATCTCCATTGATAAATAAGCTTCCAAATTTCCAATTTGACAACCATATTAAAGAGTTTAAAATACAACTAATTAAGGACTAGCTAATTAAGTAAAAAAATAGCTAATCAAGCCGAGTGCAATATACCGGTATTATACCGGGCAGTGAACTAGCTAAGCAAAAAAGTATACCGGTATTAACAACTTAGGATAAATGTATTATGTATAATGAGCTAGTGAACCTATACATCGGTCTACGACTCTACGCCGACAAAAATTGAAACAAAAAATGATTTTATCTAGATAAAGAATTTCTCAAAAATATGAAACAGTATATGTTACGGATTTGGATTTAGAAAAAAAATGTAAGTGCTCTCAATAGGCCATTTCAAACAAAGAGATTCATGCATGCCAACACAACCCTACTTCAAAGATTTCATCTACAACACCCTCTAAAATATATTTAATTTCTATGGAGTGAGATTCTGAGTTTAGTTGTCATCATGGAGAGAGAAATCCCTAGTTGTATGTTCATTTTTCATGCATGCGTGGTAATTTTTTTTTTTTTTTGAAAATTGCATGCGTGGTAATTATGTGTCGTAATTGTATGGTAATTATAGTGTAATTATATTTTTAAATTCTAGTCATTGATTTTCTTAAATTATAGTGAAGTTTTTTTATTTGATACTTCCTCCGTTCTTAAATAAATGCAACGGTCAACATTTCACACTTGGCGAGACACAACGTTAACCATTAATATATATAAATTTGTATTAGTAAAAATATTAAAAAAATTAGATATTGAAAATTTACGATGAGACTAATTTAACAATATTTTTTTCATAAAAAAATATGCATACATTAATAAATAAAACGTAGTCAAAGTAGAACATGTGAATAGTGTAAATTGTTTATGATAATTGTGTTACAAATTAAAAAATGTTTATGATAATTGTGTTACAAATTTATCATCACCATATCATAATTGTGTATTGAATGTATCATTATCGTATGGCAGCTATAGTGTAATTTCATTTTATTAGTCATTGATTTACTGTAAAATGCACAAAAATTTACTTTTATTTTAGTATTTATGGTAATTGTGCGGCAATTATATATTATTACTATTGTAGTAATTGTGTTGTAGCAGCATTCTCTTCACAATTTTATTGTGACATGTGTGTTTTTATAACTAAAACATGGTCATTGTATTCTACATGTATGATTAGGGTACACTAAATACAAATAATGGTCTTCTATATATATTGCAGAGAATTGGTGTTTTTTTTTTCTAATTTAATAAAATGCTGAATATAATAATAATTTATTTAACACATGATGAGAATTTAAACTTTTAAAAGTAATGCAAAAGTGTAATAAACCGTATTAAAGATCAGTGCTTATAAGCACATATCCAAATAAATCAACACAAAGTTAGAAACAACTATAAGGAAATAAGTGTAGTATTGTGAAAAAAAAGGATGAAACACTTCAAATTTTCAGGTGACACAAGTCGTTGAAAAGCATAGAAGTAGAAGAAGATAAATAAATGAAGGGAATGAGATTGAAAAAAAAGAATGAAGGGTGTGGAAGAATATAAATAATAAAATGACACCCCCACAATTACCATCCACACAATCACCATACAAAACTATTCTTGTCTCATAAAAAATAGAGTTTCTTTAATACGATATTACAATAGTAACAATATTTAAGAACAAGACTAAAATAACAATATATTTATTTCCAGTCAAGTAACTTAAAAAAAACACTAATAACTTTTGCGAGATAATTAATGTAAATTTAGTGTCATAACTTATGTATATGTTCATTTGTAATCTTGTACGACAACTTCAACTTTTGAACTCTTTCAAATTGTCTAGGTTGTATGTGTTTGATCTAAAACTAGAGATCAACATTCTATGAGAAATTGGTCAATTATAATTGTGATTCAATATATTTATATGAATATATTTGTGTATTACACTTGTGAACATATAGAATTAGTACATATAAAGAAAAATGTACATATTATTTAAGGCTAATTTGAGGGATATTGTCCGAGATAGGATTAAACAAGTTTTGAAATTTTAAAATATGTGTGTTATGTTTTTCTCTAAAAAATAAAAGTGATCTCTGCCATGAGTTAAAAATAATGTCATTAATAATGACAATAAATATTGTCATGTTAATGCTAATATCACAACTATTTTAGCTGTAATGACTCCAATATGGCAATATAGATATTATAATGTTACTCCTATTTTGGGAAGAAAAACTTTACAATCTTATTTTGGAATTCCAAAACTTGTTTACTCCTATTTCAAGAATGTTTACCACAATTTAAACAGTTCAAATTTGTTAGCAAGCTTAAAAATTTAAAAACTAAATCAATTATTAAATTACATATATATAGAAATTCATGAATTTGAAAAACTAAGTAGAATGATGGATTCCTCGTGGCTCGAATTCGTTTAACTATGTCATGTTTAGCAATAAAGTTGTTATGGAAGCACTAACAATGAGATAATCATAATCTCATTCATTTGGAGTAGGAAATTGAAATAGTTGAGAATCGAAGTTGACAAGCATTATAAAACCAAGTAATGCAATTATCCAATTTTGGCGGCTATGAAGTTTGGACGACTTCTCCACTCTTCTTTTAAAAATTACTTGTCATATTTAATTTTTCTTTTTGGATGGTTTCATATTTTGGGTCTCTTTTTTTTAAAGATTCTTGCATAAATATTTCATTTACCCAGTAAATAAATGATTCTCTTTTCTAAAATTAAATTTTGAACATCCAAAAAAAATTGTTCTTTGTGATCACTATATGTAGTCTTTCTTAAAATCCGTATAAATCAAATGGTGACAAGTAAATTGAAAGAG